AGGCAAAGGCTGACGCGTGGCGCGCCCGACTGGCTGGCTGGCTGGCTCCGAGGAGCGAGAGAAAGGTCCGCCTCGACACCGACAGGATCTGCTTTCGCTCTCACAGCAACCAGGTCAGCCCCCACCCCCACCCCCTTAGGAGCCGCGGGGAGGGGGAGCAAAAAGACCCGGATGGGGTTTCATTGCAGGGCGGGCGCGCTAGTGGGGGAGGGGGTGAAGAGCAGGCGGCGGCGGGAGGATTATATTCCTTTGCAATCTGCGCGTGCGGAGAAGGGGGGGGAGGGAGCTGGGAAAAGCCGCGTCTCGCGCGCCTGTTCGAATCCAAAAGGGAACGGGAGGGGGTTGCTTGCGTGTGACGTCAAGGTAACATCGTCCCCTCCCCTCGACCCGGACCACTCCTCCGTACGCGGGCGAGCACGTTACGGGGGCTGCTGGTTGTATCCGCGACTCGACGGACACGTGCGCGCCGCTTCTGCCATGTTAGCGCTCAAGGCGGGTGGGAGAAGAGAGTTCTCGCGAGGTCAGCCCTCGTTCCCGTGGGAGCTGACCGGAGGCAGGATGGCGGCGCTGCGCTGGGCGTGATGGGTAATAATGGTAACGGGCAACCGGGACGCGGGGAGGGGGGGGGAAGCTAGGGGCGGTGCGGTCTGCCTGTGTGTGTTACTTGAGCGTCAGCCTCTTAAGTCGCGTGTGGGGCGGGGCTGAACACTGCGGGGAGTTTGACCTGGCAAAGAGTTTTGCGCCTCTTCGTTGGGCTTCTCCCTCCCCCCCTGCACCGCACGGTGTACCGCCGCTTTGCGGCGCCTCGTCCCCACATGGTGCTATGGCGCCCCCTGTCGGCTGTCTGGCCTTTGGGACCCTGAATTTCTCCTAAATTACTATCTCAGGTCTCGATGTCTTGTGAAGCTCTTATCTTCAAAGCTCTGCCTGCTTTGGGGGCGGGGGGAGTTACGGTTAGGGACCTCTCGCTGCTATGGTACTTCTGAGGTGCCTATGACATTCCATACCTGCTGCATTGATTGATAAGTCAATGACTTAACCTAATGGGATTGGGGAGACCTAGATACCACAAAGCGCCACTAAAAGAATTATTCTGCCAGAGCCCTGGCTTGCAGTCCTAATGAGTTTCCTATGCTACTTGCCAAGTATACCAAAGATTTTATTCTGCAAGACTATGCCTTGCAGCGATTGTCTCTGGAGCTTTTTATTTTTTCAAACGACTGTATCAAAACAGACAATTCTTTAAAAGGAGCCAAGGCAAGCATGTTAATAAAGTGCATTGATTTTACATATCAATACGGGTAGTCCTCGACTTACAGTAGTTCATTTCGTGACCATTCAAAGTTACAATGGCACTGAAAAAAATGAAGACTCATGACCATTTTCCAGTTTCAACCTTCGCAACATCCCCATAATAATGTGATCAAAATCCAGGTGCTTGGCAACTGGTTTCTGTTTATGACCGTTGCTGTGCCAGTGCCAATGGGGAAGCCAGATTCCCTTAATAACTGGATTACTAACTTAACTGCAGTGATTCACTTAACTGTGGCAAGGGAGATCAAAAATGGGGCAAAACTCACTTAACAAATGTATCACTTAATAACATAACTTTTTGGGTTCCATTGTGGTTGTAAGTTGTCCACAATGGAATTGTCTGAAGGCATACTTTGTGCTGCTTGTTGCTAGTCTTGTGTGAACATGTCTTAATAGATTTTATGATGTAGCATAAACCTTGCTTGCTTTGTAGTCTTTTGTTGACTATGCATCTAATGAAGCAGGTTCTTTTTGCAAATCACATATAACACAACTACCTCGCAGCGATATCTGTTTATATGAATTATGAATTCGTTTCAAAGAGGTAGTTTTACATGGATTTCCAAACCAAATGTTTTAATTGTGTAATTGGAACTTCTAGGTTTTGTTTTTTTGTTAAAAGTAAAACTTATTTATTTATTACTTTTGGTATTTATAAGTACATTTTAAAATATTTTGGTATACATTGTAAGTATGTAAAGGGCAGCTAAGGCTTTTAATATGGATCAATCAAAGTTATTTGTGGGTGCAATTACAAATTGTTCCTTAGAAATTCCATGGAATGTCTATGATGTTTTCTTGGCATCAGCCTCTTTTCCTGTTCTGCATTTCCATAGGAATGATCCAACCAAATGTCACCAATATATTCATGTACTGTAATAAAAGCTTCAGGGTTCTTTTTTTTTTTAAGCCACTTAATTATTGGATTGACTATTAAACTGCTTCTCTTTTCATACTAAGAACATATTTCCATTGTGCAACTTATATACAAAAATGTGGACTGATCTCTTTTATGAAGACTTGTGTTAGAGCAGAAGTACTGCTGGAGATCATACATGTATTTTATTTATTGTACTTTATCTTGAAGTAAATATTGTTTAATGATCTATTATTTAAACATATTTGAAACTACATTAATCTTTCTGTAGCATTTTCTAAATTTATTGAATATTGCTCCAAAGCTTGAGATTAGGATGCTAGTTGACCCCTTGTTGAGATTTTAAAATTATTATTTTGTCCAGGCAATTGTGTTTCATTATATTGTTTTTTAATTGTGTTTTTCAATTATATCTTTGATATTTTGTAAACTGCTCAGAGTCCTTTTACAATTGGGTGGCCTTAACAAGTTAGATAAATGAATAAAATAAAATGTTGTTCAGAGCACAATTAATGCTTTGTCTTCAGTAGTTACATGCTGGTTCAACAAGTTCTAGAATTGGGATGCTGCTGTTCCCCTTCCCTCAGCTTAATTGTACAGTTGTGTGTTGGTGTATGTGTGTGTAGGCATATATAGACATACTACATCCATACACAACTGAATACTGAAGCCATACTGAAATTAATCGAATCAATTCCCAAATAGGTATGCTCTGAGTGGATTTAGTCAATGATATGCTTGCCAGAGTCTTAATATCAAGTCAGGAAAATCAATATTATAATATTTCAAATGTCACATGGGAGCTTTGGATATTTCCTTTAACTTTCTTGATTGCAGTATGATAAGTATGAATGCATGTGTGTGTTTCATTTTATAAAATACCAACACAAAATTCTTAGAATATTCTAGTCTAAGAGAAAGGTGTTTTGGTAAATGCATGATTGATATCCCTTAGGAAAGTGAACATCTACAAGAGGTCATAAGAGAAGTCCTTTTTATCATGAAAGACAAATTCTAATATTTCTGAATGAGTGTATAGATTTAATTCCCTTGCAAGCATTATGAATAGGCAGCATGCAAGTTATCCATATAATAAATAAAGGTTATTGTGAATTAAATAATGTTGAGCTGAGTCCAACTTTATGCATGCAGAAATCAGTTTGGGTATTAGAGCTTTATTCTTTTTCTTCTTAGAGCTCCTGTCATATCTTCCACATCCAGAAATTTAGAACAGATTGGGAGGGTATAATAGAGTTTCATTTTAAAAAGTTCATTGAATTCTGTCTGCCATTTTTTATTTATGCATATTTAACTGAACTGGTAATTCAGCAGGTATGGAAAAACCTGATTTGATCAACAGTTGCATAATTCATTCTCGATTTATTTGGAGGATAAATAATTGTATTTCCTACTTGCTAACACCACCCAAAAATGATAATACCAACCTAAAAATCCCAAGGTTATCTCCTTTCTTATAGGCTCTTTTCTATCTGATAACTTAGAAACAGACACAAGACTGGATAGAATGCTTCTACTTCTGACTCATTTTTCTGAAATGAAGTCTATATAAATTTCCTTTGTCAAATATAAAAGGCCATTAAATTCTATAAAGACTCCTGACAGCCATACAACATTAATTAATTATGAATATTTATTTTAAAATGTACATAGTCACTCAACAATAAATCTTGGTGCTATACAGGAAATAAAGTACAATTAAAAACTAAAATGCCAAAAGAAAAAAAACAATTACTGAAAAATGCAACACCCACTATCAAAGCCTGGAAGAAGAGCTAAGTTTTCAAGACTTTTTTTAACATGGTCAGGGTGGGGCCAGCTGTATTTTATGTAACGGTTGCAATGTATTATCAAATAGTGTTGGAAACGTATTTATTTGATTTGGTTTTGGTGCCACCCAATTCCAAATGATTATCTTTAAAGGTACATCAACAAAATGTCTTAACTATACAACAGAATTACTGAACTATATAATGATTGTCACAAAGAATGTCAATATATCCATTCCTTTTATATATACCAGTTATTTCTCTTCTTCTGGTTGTCATCTGTTCTGTCTTTTCTCCCCCACTCTTCAAACTGACTCAACATTCTACCTCTGTCTTACAAGAATTGCCCAACTATAATAACAGTCTACAATTTCATCACATATTTATAATGAAAGCTTACCTCTGTTTTCTTTGTAGGATAAAAGATTTAAGAAAAATGGAATACATTCTTCGTATATATCCTGTCTTGGTAAACAGTCAACTATCACAATTTTATTTCCTACCAGTTATTCGTGTATATAGCTGTTGCTTCTTCTTTTCTTGCTTTTTCTTTTCTTTTCTTTTTTTTTTGCTTCCAATTTTACACAACCATCACTCTTAATAGCTGATTCTTGTTTAGATTTCCTAATTTCCTTTTCTCCCTGTTGAAATTCTCCCCATATTCATTTTTCCAAGTGAAATTAGAAATACCTGAAATGGTATTAGTTGTTGTCCATTGGAAAATTATAAAAATAACTTTTTCAGTCTCATGGGAAAAAATAGGAAAAATCATATTTTACTAGAGTAGGTTTTAGGACCGATTCAACCAATCTTGCACTTTTTAAATCTTCTTTAAATTATGTGATTTCTTATTCAATGTTCTTTTCATCATCTTATTTTACCAATTTGACCTTTTTCTTTCATTTATACTTAATTGATTACTTGACATTATCTGGAGAAATAATTTCTTTTAGTATTAAATGTAATGCTCCTCTTTACAAGGAATCTTTTTTTTCTCCTTCAAAATCATATGCTCCTATTTTGTACTATGTTTTGTATTTTCAATAACTACTGTATTTGACTGTTCTTATGTGCGCTGCTTGGAGAATCCAAGCATGGATTAACTTCTGTCTATTTGGCTAGAGACTGAGTTGTA